GTGTGATTGAAGGATAACCTATAACGCATTTTACTCCACAGTCCCATTGTTTATAAAGATCCTCTCAGTTTTGCCTTTATTACAATTCGACTCGAAGAACCATCTTTCATGATTGGATGAGGTCATCGATTCCTCTTCTGTTCACTCTGTCAAGTTACACTTAATATTACCTCTATGCTTGTGCATTCATTCGTGTCCTTATTCAGATAACTCATAAATTCTTTACGTTTTAACCTCTCCCATACAAACACTCATGATATGCGCACAAGTACACACATGTTTGTCATATATTCTCTCGCAAAATTACTTTATCTTACCCCCATATCTCTCATCCTTTCTCTCTGTACTTTATTAAATACATTTTGTACAACTCATTATCTTGTTCCAATTGATAGATAAGTGACATTCCTCTGCTGGGCAATAACAACAGCCGAATCATCTACGACAGTGTGGTAGTTCATTCATCTCTACTGCTTGGTTATAACTCGCAGTCAATTCTTATTCAATTGCTCAATTATCGTCATAATTCTCAAGATTACGACCTTCTAGTAGGTTATGCAATTCCACGCAAAAGGGAAGTGCATGGATTATGATATTTGTTAATTGTAACTATTTCACCAATACATTAAATTGCGTTATTTTGTTTATAAACCTAAATGAATAGAGAAATATTTGCAAACTATATTTGATAATGTATTGGCAGTAACTAGGTTATATTCATTAATATACAAAGTTGTGTAGGAAATAAATTTGCTCTATTCTTATATTTCGAATTAAAATAAAAATGCTATGGCAGGAATTTTCAAGAAATTACAAATGCGAGTTGAAAAATAGCATTATTAACTTAAGTAATTATTGAAATGAAGGGTTTTAGCAAATACAATGTGTGACACATGACAAAACCCTTAGAAATAATCATGATGTCAAATTCAGACTTATTAAATAAAATACTAATAGAAAGTAAATAATTGAAGTGATTTATTAGTTAATAAAATGTGATACATAATGACCTTCTTGTTTAAACGAACCGAATAATTCGTGCTACTTCAGTCGCCGATATTTAGCTCTCGATGCCTCAAGCTCCAGTTCTCAAATTAAATAGTGGTCACGAAATTCCTCAAATTGCTTTAGGAACACTTGATGTAAGCTTCGAATTTACGTTCTACTTTTAAACAGGCTCATAATATTGATGCGGTTAATGCTGTGAAAGCTGCTTTTGCCTCAGGCTATCGTCATATTGACACTGCAATGTTTTACGAAAATGAGAAGGAAGTTGGCCAGGCTATTGCAGAATCAATGAAAGAGTACAATCTTAAACGGGGAGATATTTTTGTGACTTCTAAACTCTGGTGCGATCGACATGATCCGAAAGACGTTAAAAGATCATGTGAAGAAACGTTGAAAGATCTCGGTCTTGAATATCTAGATCTCTATCTCATTCACCTTCCCGTTTCATTCAAAGTCTTAGATGGTTACGTTTTTGATTTAAACAATCGGGATGTACTAATTTATGAGAATCACAAGCTGGAAGACACGTGGAGAGAAATGGAAAAGTTGGTTTCAGCTGGACTGGCAAAGTCTGTTGGCGTGTCAAACTTCAACAAACGCCAAATTGAGCGTATCATCGAGCATGGAAAGATGGTGCCAGCTGTTAATCAAATTGAAGTGCATCTTCACTTTCTTAACACCAAGTTGATTGAATTCTGTCAATCGAAAGGCATTCAGGTTGAAGCTTATGCTCCTTTTGGCTCCCCTGGTTACTTGAAGTAGATATATCTGGTTTTAAATTTGAGTTTTCAAATGCTTAAGATAATCACTGTGGTATGCGTTATTCTAGGGAAAACGTTAAGTCTCTGTTTGAACTGGAGGCTGTTGTTGAGATCGCGAATAAGCACAAAGTTACTCCTGCCCAAGTTCTGATTCGTCATGGTCTGCAAAGAAATTTGGTTGTTATCGCCAAGAGTGTTACTCCCGAGAGAATTCGGACAAACTTTGATGTTAGTTCTCTCCTTCAGTTTTGCTGTTGCTTTTTCCTATTGTTTCTTAGAGGCATTTCTAATCATTTCATCGCAGGTTTTTGGTTTCGAGCTGACTAATGAGGAGATGGACAAGCTTAACAATTCTGGTATGAACATTCGCCTGTTCAAGGTACCATCGTAAGCTACCGTTTGAGTTAAATTTTAATATTATCTTGCAAAAGCTGCTTTGTGAATAATTTTTTCCCTACTTTACAGAATTGCCCAGCATCCTGAATATCCTTACAATGATGAATTCTAAAGGATGAATGGCATTTTTCTCCGATTCTCGTGTTTTTTATTCTTAAACTAGAAGGTATATTTATTTCTTTTGCCTTTATATTTTAAAATCCCAAATAATAAATCTTTCATCAACTTGGAGTATGTTTTCTTGTTTTTCAACGTTGTAGTGAGCTGTTGTTTAAATTTAAGTTAATGATTTGCTTTTGTTTTATTCATCGTGCTTCATCTTGTAAGAAGATTTTAATGTAGCATTTTAAACATGGAAGTGTGTTAGACATTTCACAGTCCATATTTTGAGTTTGTTTTTCGTAATAATAAAACTAGATCGTGGTCGTTAATTTCTCCTTAATTACTGAATTAAAGCTGCGAATTCCAGTTTATATCAAAATACCCTTCCGTAAGCATGAATGTTGAAGTTACACCACCATGAGAAACTTGTGGCATTCCTTATCTCCATAGAAGCAAGTGAAATGATCTTCTGTGCTGGAAGCTCATACAAGCGTCGCATAGTGCAACTTCTCACAGAGTCGAATGTTTTCGTCTGTCAGACACGAAGGAACTTTTATCACATTAAATTTGTTATTTACCAATCTGGTGCTCTTATTTCCTGTTGGGACTGTCAAAGTTATCTCAAACGCCATATGAATATCTTTTTCTAAATGCTATTTTGAACATCTGTCTTCGAATCACCTTGACTCATGGTCTCCAACTCATTTTAATGAAGAGGCCTATTTCTCGTATAAAAACATGACTTTCTTCCTATTTCTACTTGAATTCCTTCTATTAACTGAATAATGTGCCTAAATGCACCTGAGAAGAAATGGATGCGTTGTTATCAAAACCTTTCCTCCTTCGATGGAGAATTATTTGTATATTAGATGTTTAGATACCTGAACATGAGACTTGGGATAAATCTGCAAATCAATATTGATTTTTCTGTATATTTTCATTTTATTTTCTAATTACGACTACACGATCAGAGAGTCTATTGGAAATCAATTTTGGTATTTCGTTAGCCGAGAATAATGTGCCTGCTCACCGTGCACAATGATTATTGATTTTCAATCGTTTCATTCGAGCAATGACAACAACATTATGAATTCTTTATGAATAGGTAGTGGCCAGATGGCAAACACTTGAATGATGTATGGTGTAAACCTTATCGGAATATAAATAACTCCGAAAAAAGTAATACTCGGAGTTGAGTAATACAAGACATTACTGCTGTTAATGTTCATTTGGACAAGTCTGAGATGAGAAATCGACATCCATGTTGGTTACCTCTGACCTATGGGAATTATTTATGAACTACCTCATAATAATCCGCAAATCAATATAAACTACATATCAGTTCAGTTGATCGAAATTCACACCCTTAAAAACTCCTTCAAGTTTTGACAGCTGCTTTGACTAATCTCAGGGTCTGAATAGGGAGCAGTCTACCAATTACACGAGACAACTCGGAATCTAGTTCCACATATTCGACATCCTATCACCACATTACTGATAAAGTTGATTTACGTTATAATGAAATTTAAGAAGCAACAAATGACCAGTTATTTAAGCGATCTATGTAATATGTCATTTCTATTTACCAACAACGTCTACCTTTCCTAATGTACTTAATTGTAATAGTGCTTGATTGATTGCTGTGCCGACTACTATTGTCTGTAAGCGCTAGTTCGCTTATCACCTTTCCCAGAACTCTCATGGCCACTTTTCAATGTCTGCGACAATGCCTTCTGGTTATCGACCACACTTCAAACCTTCGCACCACACCCCCCACGAGGATGACACATATCTTGAGGGTAAATAGGGTTGTGAGGTTAATTATAACCACAGTCTCTACCTTCGAGGTAGGAATTGCCCTGGCTTTCAGTAGTTAGCCATCGGCAAAAGACAAAGAATTTATTAACACGTAAAAGTGCATACGGAAATCCATTTTAAAATGAAAACAGTGAAAGCAATATAATCATGCATTTGTTGTTGAGCCATTGTAAGTGAAGAATATATCAAATGGCTAATTTGATGCATATTTTCATTCTTGATTGAGTTAATAAAGAGGTTATTTTGGATATTTTCCATACTGGGGTTTATTTACAACTTGTGTTCACTGAATCCCCAAACAAAAGATGCTTCACAATAACATGAATGAAAAATGATATGATTTGACATAAAGGTAAAAATAGAAGATAGTTTGGAAATAACAATTTAACCAAGATCTTCAATTAATTTACTTGATAAAAAAATTAGATCAAAATAATAACGAGATATCAAAAGGGAAATCTTCCGTCTCTAATTGTACATAAGTTTTATGTTTCGGTAAATTTTGTTTAAAGTTAAAAAAATGAAACGCTTTCATAAATTTTGGCAAACTAATTTGAATGTTTAAGAGTTACGGAGTCTATGAACCACCCCAGAATAAAAATCAACCTTGATTTTATGAATATCTCGCACAAAACTGTAGCATTAGGAGACCTCAACGTCCATTCCACCAGATGGGTCTGTAAGAATAAAAACATGGCTGGAAAGAAAATCAAAGACATGCTTAACAGCAACCCACTAGAAACTATTTACAGCGATGAGGATCCTGCTACATATCTGCACTGCAATGGAACCTGAACAACCCCTGACTTGCTCCTGGGTTTAAGTGACATCTGCGAGTATATGCACCACAAAATAATTGGCGATCCTGGTTCTGGCCACAAACCAGTCATTGCTAGTATTACCATCGGCAGTAAACGCANAGTATTACCATCGGCAGTAAACGCATGCTATCGAAAATGGCAACCAAGCTATCATGGAACTCCAAGAAGGCCGACTGGCCTACATTCACAAACCTTTTAGAGAACTAACTTCACCCAAGCCCCATAAACTTCAACCAACATCCTGACAAACTTTCCAACGAAATCACGTATATTTATTTATTCATTTCAAATTTCAGTTGACTTCGGGGTTTCAGGGACAGGAGTAACTTTGTGGTGAGGAAAATTCGAGAAGGGGAAAGAAGAGTGATTCAGAGATGTAGAGACAGATGGACACAGATACAGAGAAAAGGTAAGATGAGTACTGCTGAAGTGGTCGAATTCGGCATACAGTGAAGTCATGGTAGTTTGAAGTCAGAAGTCAACTGCGAATAAAAGACTTTTGCCGTATGAGTATACGTTTTGCGTAGCCCAAATCACGAATAAAACTATCAGATATGCGAAGAAAGCTATTCCTCGTGTCAAGACTAAACACTATCGGGTGTTCTGGTCTAAATACCTTGAGGAACCGAAAAGAAAGCGGACGCCCTTCGCAGCACTGCTGAACAGACTGGAAGAACGGAAGACGTACAAGCCTGGAGACGACAATCAGGTGTCCTAAGGCAAGCCATCAAACCTGGAGACGACAATCAGCTGTCCTAAGGCAAGCCATCTTAGAAGCAAAACGGACGTCCTTCGACAAGTTCATCTCAAATATCAACTAAACCGGACTTCCTTCAACAAGTTCATTTCAAATATCAGCTATTACGGACTTCCTTCGACAACTTCATCTCAAATATCAACTATGAAACTTACTTCGACAAGTTCATCTCGAATATCAACTATCAAAACCTTTAACGACTTGTTCATCTCAAATATCAACTATCAAAGTGTTAACCAATACACTTTCAAATTTCTAGGCAACTTCCAAAATAACAAGAAAAGACCCAAGAAATAACAAATACCTTTAAAAAGTAAACTGCTTACCACAGACTTGGAAATAGCTAACTAATTTGTGAGGTTCTATTCCCACAAACAAAAGAAAAACATTTTGTCAGAAAATCTTCAAGAGATTTAAAGATATAAGTAAGACAGTTTGGTGAAACTAAGGAAGACACAACAATACTAAATAATGTACTTACTGAACCATTCACACCTTGCGAATTTAATGCTGCGATAAAACAGCTCAAGTGCAAAACGTCTCCTGGCGAAGACGGTATTCATCCGGAATTTCTAATTAGAATGNCCTAGCATCTTTGGCAACTTTAGACCTATCTCCCTCAAAAACGCGCTGGCTAAACTTATGGAAAGAATGGTTAACAGGAGGCTGACTTGGTTCCTCGAGACCAACAATATTCTTAGAAACAAACAAGCAGGTTTTTTTGCCACAAAGACCAACGAACCAACAAGTAGCCACTTTCTCCCAACACATCAAAGATGCCCTTGATGCACGAAATACTCTTACGGCTGTTTTCGTCGATTTCAAATCAGCATATGACTCAGAGTGGAAAGAGAAGTTAATTCTAAAATTTTCGCATATTGGTATAATTCACAACAGGCTAAGCTGGATAAAAACATTCATTAGACAAAGATCATGTAAAGTCAGATATGGTAGCGCTCTGTCCGAATCCAATCTTTTACAAACAGGTCTTCCACACGGGGCTGTCACAAGCTGTACTCTTTCAATGTCTTCATCAATGACATAGCCGAACTGGTGCAGACAGTCACTGGCATCTTGTTCTATGATATTCCGTCCCTATGAAAACCGCTCAGGAGAGAACGGAAAGTGCCCTAAATTACGCACTTAAACTATTAGCAAACTGGTGAGACAACAATGGGATGGTTATCAACACCTCGAAATCCACATTCCAAACATTTTCACCGGCCAACATTTAAGGTACAAGGACACTTCCCTCGTAAAAAAGCAAAGAGTTCATTTATCTTGGACTGACGTTTGTCACAAAGCTAATATGGAAAAGCCACATTGCTTAAGTAGCAGAACGAGTCTCAAATAGACTGAACGTACCCCGCTGATAGCAAATGGGGCTGTGCACGCCCAACTCTTAACACCACCAATAAAGCTGTGTTGCTCCTAGCCATTCATTAAAGCCTCTGAAGTGATTCTTAAATCGTGCCAGAAGACGTACAACCAGGCATTTCGACTAATTAATTGAAGGAAAGAAACAACACCAATTGTTGTAATGTCTCTGGTTACAGGGAACACCACAATACGTTCCTTATCAAAGAGAAGGTCTTAATCCTGTGCGAGAAGCTACTGCGCATTCCCATGGACAAATTCTTCAATGCCTACGAAATTAGACCAAGACACCTAAAAACGCAATCTGGTCTAATTCAGAAAGCCATAGAACTGAAGAAAGCATTACAAATCGATAACAAACCAAAAAGCTTCTCTCTACTCATGAATACATAAGCAGTCACTGATGTAGAGTTTTGCATCCAACTGCTTGACTACTTCAGGAAAGCAAACACCCCCAACACAAATGCGCTCACCTGCCCTTGAGACAATCGATGCCAACTATCCTTCAAATCAATTGCTCAAAGCCTTCACTGATGGGTCTCAAGTAGAAAATCAAGCAAACGTTGGTGCAGGTGTTTTCTCTAAACTATTCTCTTTCTACGCAGCAGCGGNTTCGAAGGAGAAACACACACCGTTGTAAGACATTGTTTTTTATCGGGTCCTGTTTGATGCTCAATGGGTTAGAGAAGTAATATGGAGTGAATTGAGGTATAGAGTTCTTCTGCAATTTTAAAAGAGCAATTTGCTAAGGAGATGATTCCGAGGGCAGTCCCATCGATATTGCATTTCAAATAACATAATGGTACGTTTGGTGGTGTAGTGTCTGCTTTGTCATCAGGAATTGGTGTCGAAGGTGTAGTTGATGCCTGGCAATTGCACATCACCGACTTCTACTTGGAACACCAACTAATGGTTAGCCATTGTTTCTGCTTCCTTGGTGGAAGGGGCAGATAGGCCTTCAAACAGGCAACCACTGCACAAGGGAGGTGATGACTGCTTAACTGCCCAAGTTTCGTCAGGTTGACACAAATTGATAAATCAACCAACTACCACAAAACTTTAAGTTCATTGATTACTTTTGTTGGACAAATTTCCACTTATTTTCTACTTGTATAAATGTGCATATATTGTGATGCAATGTTTTCCTAGATCGATGATTGTTGAAAGCTCAAGTTTTAATAATATTTTTCTGATTCATTTCCAGGAACTGTTATTCCTCTTTTATTCCGACTAGGCACTGGACAATTCATGACCTCCATGGTCGCATCTTAGAGATTGAAATTTCGGAAATAATGTCGAGTACACCAGGGGACAAGTGACAAACGAAATTATTGTAATTAGGGGAACACATTGTGGTCGACACTTCCAAACGTTAAGTAAATTGAAATGGTTGTGAATGAGCTTTCAACTTCAGCGGTTGATGACGCCCTATAGGTTAATAAACTTGGGAGAGTGAGGGAGAAGTGTACTTGCACACATTCTATAAACTTTATAGATTTCCATGATTCACACCATACCATTAAAAAGAGTGTTTAAAAACGTAAAATGCCAAATATTTTTGGAAGAACTAAAAGCAATGCAGTTGAGACATCGATGCGATCATCGGCAGGTGGATTGAAGGTGGGTGAAAAGGTGTGATTGAAGGGTAACTTGTTATGCACTTTCCAACTTTTCATTCTTTGTGAATTTTCTAACAATTTTGCATTTCATGTAGCCTGAAACGGGTCACCATCGTTCATGTCTAGACGAAGCCATCGATATTTCTTTTGACCACAACAATACTTGTATCTCCATTCGTGTAATTGTCCAAATAGCACATTAACTCTCTTCGTATTTCTACTCAATTACTATCGTAACACGAAGAATTGTGATACATATTTTTATTCAATTTGTTAACTCCTTACCGTTGTTACTTTATCAGTTGTAATAATTATCTTAATAATTTGTGAAATTTATCACCGTCTAGTTAGCTGTATTTAGCAATTTCTAAATTTAGACATATATATATAAATTTATTTGATATATGCCGGAAAAGAGATGTGAAAATGCAAAATGTGTAAATTGGAGAATATATTCGTTACTCTTTAGTTGCACAAATGATGCATAACTTGGAAGGTATATATCTACATTTCGACTAGTAAAGTTTAAGATAGAGATGAAACTTTGTCAGCAAATACCTATAAGATTCGGAATAATTGACATTTGCAATTTTCAGAATGGGTTAAGGAATAGATTTTTTGTAAACACAATAATTTACTCGAGTAAAAATTTCGAAAATTATACAACTTTTGGATATTTTCGTTTGATTACGACAGTAAACAACAAGAATCTAATACGGAAATGAAGAGCAATTAAAAAGGTATTGATAAATCGTGGTGTCTTAATGCCCGATTTATTTTCTTTATTTAGACCTATTAAAGTGAAGCAATAATGACCTTTTTGTTTAAGCGAACTGCCTAATAGGTGGCATTTCGTTTGCCGATATTTCGCTATCGATGTTTACAGGACCAACTCTCAAACTAAATAGTGGTCATGAAATTCCTCAGCTTGCCTTCGGAACATTTGACGTAAGCCTCATAAGCATACTTAATTTTTACTCAGGTTTCGAATATGAATGCTATCAATGCCATAAAAGCGGCTTTTCGTGCTGGATACCGTCATATTGACTGCGCAGAGTTTTACGGCAACGAGAAAGGAATAGGTCAAGGCATCGCAGAATCGATGAAAGAGTATAAACTTAAACGTGAAGACATTTTTATCACTTCGAAACTCTTTTGCGATCGACACGATCCTAAAGATGTCAAGGGTGCTTGTGAAGAAACGTTGAATGACCTCGGTCTCGAATATCTGGATCTCTATATAATTCACTTTCCCGTCTCCTTCCGAGTTGCAGATGGTGTTAGCTTTGATTTTGACGATCCAGAGACAGTTATTCTGGAGAGTCACAATCTTGAAGACACCTGGAGAGAAATGGAAAAGTTGGTTCCAGCTGGATTGGCAAAGTCTGTTGGTGTGTCAAATTTCAATAAACGTCAAATTGAGCGTGTCATCGAGCATGGAACGATGGTACCAGCTGTTAATCAGATTGAAGTGAATCTTCACTGTCTTAACACCAAGTTGATTGAATTCTGTCAATCGAAAGGCATTCAGGTTGAAGCTTTTTGTCCTCTCGGGTCTCCTGGTTACTTTAAGTGTGTTTATCTAGTTTCACATTTGCTTTTGCTAATTCTTTGAGTGCCACTGCTGTTTGTGTTATTATAGGAACAAAGCCAAGTCACTGTTTGAACTGGATGCTGTTGTTGAAATCGCGAATAAACACAAAGTTACTCCTGCCCAGGTTCTGATTCGTCATGGTCTGCAAAGAAATTTGGTTGTTATCGCCAAGAGTGTTACTCCCGAGAGAATTCGAACAAACCTTGATGTTAGTTCTCTTCTTCAGTTTTGCTGTTGCTTTTCCTTCATGTTTCTTAGAGGTATTTTTAATCTTTTATCGCAGGTTTTGGGTTTTGAGCTATCAAAGGAGGAAATGGACAGGCTTAACAATGCTGGTATGAACACTCGCATTTTGAAGCTATTAGCGTAAGTTATCGATTGAGTTTAACTTTAAAACTTGCCTGCAGATCCTGTTTGATGACTATTTGATCTTACCTTACAGCCTCGCCGAGCATCCTGAATATCCCTTCAATGATGAATTCTAAACAAGGAATATCCTTTTTCTAGTTTCCAACATACTCATCTCTTAAATAAAGTGCATAAGTGGTTTCTTACATTCATATAATAATCTCGCATTCAATAAACAGTTATTCGATTTTATGGTGTTGCTTCTAAATGGTTCCGGTGTATTCTGCACTTTGCGAATTTCAAATTTTCAATTGAATTGATGGATTTTGAAAGGTAAACGCGAGTTGCTTTCAGTAAATCTACGGTGACTTGTTTTGTGAACAAACAGCACTAACATTCCACCTTTTCATCGGTGAATGTTGAAATGTGAGACGTCCACTATCACCGTAGAAGTAAGTCAAATGAACTTTGGGCTGGAAATTCTTACAAGAGACTCAAGATTTTGCCACTAGGGTTTTGTCGTTTGATAGACACAAAGAAGCTTCAATTCAATAAAATTTAATTTTCTAGTTATTCACTCTTATTTCCAGTTGGAATGGAAAGTTCATCTCGGTCACGATGCAAATGATAGTTTGAACATTTGTCTTTGAACCTGCCGATGATCGCATCGATGTCTCAACTGCATTGCTTTTAGTTCTTCCAAAAATATTTGGCATTTTACGTTTTTAAACACTCTTTTTAATGGTATGGTGTGAATCATGGAAATCTATAAAGTTTATAGAATGTGTGCAAGTACACTTCTCCCTCACTCTCCCAAGTTTATTAACCTATAGGGCGTCATCAACCGCTGAAGTTGAAAGCTCATTCACAACCATTTCAATTTACTTAACGTTTGGAAGTGTCGACCACAATGTGTTCCCCTAATTACAATAATTTCGTTTGTCACTTGTCCCCTGGTGTACTCGACATTATTTCCGAAATTTCAATCTCTAAGATGCGACCATGGTACGATCTTAGTCGTGTTTAGTAGACATGTGCTAACTTTGAAGTGCAATGAACTTGGCAATCTATTGTGGTTTTTATGCATTAAATTTGACTGCTATCGGCTTATTGCAATGTAGCAGCCGATTAGCACAATAAAATACTAAGCAAATAACTAACTTACATACAGTCTCCGCAGTATTGTATGTTTTTATGACTAAAAGTAGGAAAGGTTTCGAATTTGGTAGCTCTTATCTGTTTATACATACGTTATCTTACTGGCAATTCCCTCTTTAAATTCTGCAAATGAAAATAAATAAAAAAGTTCTTTTACAACACACGAATTATNAAACACTCACATTTTTCCATATTTGTTTTAATCTATCCACAAAATGTGAAGTTGGTTTGTTGGTCGTTTGAGCAACCGAATCTTGTCTTATAAGAGGCAATCGATTGTCAAAACTTGCTGGCATTCCCGCAAAAATCAATTATTGGTTGTTTGAACGTGGTAAACGAGGATATACAATAAATCATTAATCTATTCAGCTTGTTAAGCTAATATCCTTCCCATTACTTCTTCCAATTTTTATTGACTTATTAACCATTCAAAATAATCATTCCATGAAAGTCATCAGACATCATATAACTAACCAATTTCTGGTTACTTTGACATTTACCTTTGAAATCGTGATTGATTTTCACATTTTTTGGATAACTCACTCGATTGTATCATTGGCGTTCGAAGTTAAGCCACAAATATTTAAAATCTAGCACGTGCCCGTTACCTAAAATCAATACCATGTCCCATATCTAGAGCACATCGGTTGATTCATTTAAACACTGTTAGAGTCAGAACAATTCTTCCTCTTTAACTGAGAGTGGAAGGTCAAATTAATTAAAAGGGGGAAAATAACAACTCGATTCCTCTCAAAATGAATAAAGACACCTCCAGTCCTTTGAACCAGAATTAATATTCCAGTATTTCTTCGATACCTTTCCACACTTTACCTCCACTTTTTTGCATTTCCTGCATCTTGATGTCATTTGAATCATGGCAAATAATTTTCTTTTCTTTTTTTCAAACAAGCTAACTCATTTGGGTTGTCACTGGTATACCAACTGCATAAACAGGCGCCATTCTAGACATGTCTGCTTACAAGTGGAAAATTCCATTATCTATTGTGAATAAAGAAACACAGATGAATATATACAGTCCGTTCAAACTGATTAAGAAGTTCCCCTTTGACGCTCAATCTGGACAACTCCTCATTCTTGATAAATTGAATGATCTAGAGTTATGAACACTGCAAATAACCACGACCTTCAAATCCAAGCAATTTAGCCATTTCCTTACCCGAAATCATTGGGGTGGGCGATAGACTTACCTTCACGTGGTGCACCCTGGGTAAGGTATATTCATACGGCAAAAAAGTCTATTAACCGGCAGTTGACTTCTGACTTCAAATTACCATCACCCCACTCTATGTCATTTGATTACTTCCACAGCACTCACCTCACCTTTTTTCAACCTTTGTATCTGTCTCCCTTACATCTTTGAAACATTTTCTGTACTTCCCCCCTCTCGAATTTTTTCACTATGATGTTCCTTCCCCTCTGTGAAGCCCGAAGTCAGCTAAAACCCTCTGTGAAGCCCGAAGTCAGCTAAAGGGCTAATGATAGACTATCAAAGCGCCTGCCATTTGAAATAAATAAATATTATTTGTCAAAACGCCTGCCATTTGATATAAATAAATAAATGCTTAAGTTGGGTAATGAATGAGCTCCACTCCACTTTGAAGACACTGCTGCTGCTTTTTAGACTAGCGCGCTTGGAATTTGAATTGAGGACTCCTCCGACGCATCTTTCGAAGAAGAAATAGAAGATGATATAAAATGAGTGAAAGACAATTGGAGAAGTCGAGTGCATTGTCAAGTAGAACAGCTTTAGGTAGATGGAACTTTTAAATTGTAGTGGTAGTATTGCCTCCACATCTCATGTGACTTTACGGGTAGGCAGGTTGTCTGCTAACTCGAAAAGTGGTCGAGTTCGTTAAAACGGGATAAAGCCCTCGAAAATTCATACTTTCGTGATTGCTCCAGGAGGCCAATAGAAATGATTGAAAAAGCCATTCATAAACGTGGAACCAGGAAGTGTATATCACCATGGACGTTTATGGGCACAAATAATTGTGTTCAAAAGAAGCTAAATTCGATTTCAAGCATCGATCATGATAATATAATTATTGTATTTTATAAACATGTCGCCGCTCTCTGTGATTTTATTATCCGGAAAGTTTCTCTCATCGACCAAATCAAATTTGGCGTCTGAAGTGACATAAAAAAGGTTGCCATATCAGTAAACGCATCTCCGAAAAATTAACTTCAATTAGTTACTTTAATTTAAATGCAAACATACAATTTCATTCATTTCGAAATCTGAAATTCTTCGCATGGAGCGCATTTCTAATTTTAAATTATTTTAATTAGATCCACAGTATTCTAATTAGATATTCCTCTAAGCAATACTGTTATTTAAAACTTTAAATACTGTTTAAAACTGACTTTAAATGAAATGGGCAAAAAGTAGGAAATCTTTTCCAATCTCTCTCACTCATTCATATTTTGTCCCAATGTTTCGTGTTTGTATGTAGTTACAGGAAAGATTTTCTCAAATTAACTTACTCTGCAAAAGGTAATAATGAAATTCTAAAAGATACGCAAACAATAATAATAATAGTGGTTAAATAATTATTCAAACATTTCAGCTGTCGATTAGCAGACCATTATCCAAAGCATCTTTGACTGATTTGATGTGATCTAAATCTGAGTTTAGGCCAAACAGCTGATTTTCCTTTTTCGCGTCTGCACTTTCCATGATTTGCAATCAAGTGCCCTGAAATGTGTATCTCAACCTCTACAGGTGGTTCTGTAGCATCTTGGAAGTTCTAACCTTCTGAGTCTATTACAAACGTGTGTTTCGAGTACCTCTGCGTTCGGTTCCACGGATCCTATCAGTCTCTAATTGTTTTTGCCTACATTCGAACAACATGTTTCTTACCACTGAAAAAAGAGCTCAAAGTGTCTCATTATCCTCAGTGGCTCTAATTTCACCTATTTCACAATACCTGGGTGTTCTCGCCTCCACTTTTCTCTCAATTTCTTATCCTTCTTCTTACTCCTCCATCTCCTGACCCATTTCTGTTTCCAAAAACTCGTTCCAAGAGTGGAAATTCCAGCTCAAATTATTTATTTCAAATGGCAGGGTTTATGATATTTATCATTAGCTCTTAAACTTTGACTTCAACTTCAACCCAATTGTGGGAAGGGATACACTTATAGCAGTTAATTAATAGTAGTTCATTAGCTGTCTTCTTGCTTCCCAGTATCTCTTTCTTTCCGTCGTTGTCTTTAGGGCTGGACACCGAATCAGGTGGGTCTTCTCCATTTCCTCCTGCTGGTTACATAGGGGGCATGTGGGTTGAGTGTACACTCCCAATCTGTGAAGGTGTTTTGCCAAGCAATCGTGTCCGGTATGTAGTCTAAACTCACCAACGGTTTCGATTCTTGGCCAGTCGGCTATGTCGGAGAGTGACACTGTCCACTGTTTCTCCTTTGTTCGAGCTTTAAGTTCGTTGCACCTTGAAGTCTGGAATTCTCTCTTGATTAAGGCCTTCATTGTGTGGAAAGACATCGGCCGGTCCATGCATTGCAAAATCGTTGTCCCCTTCTTAGCAAGTGTGTCAGCAAGCTCATTGCCTTTAATGCCACAGTGACCAGGAATCCATTGTAGGACCACTGTTTAGTT